CCGAAGGGACAAATTTCGATTAAAAAACATGAGGAATGCCACCTGTCTGTGCAGTTTGTGCCATTACACCCTCCAGATCACAAACGAATCCTCGTCGTGTGCAATATGCTGTTCGACAATTGCGTCATGGAATTTTTTCGGGACACTTATTTCACCAAGGAAAGGTTTCCAACCTTTCAGTGAACACTGTTTGTGTTTCTTGCAAAGTCCACGATGAGGTGGCTCATGGGCAAACGTGTAACTTGAAGCATCTTGAATCCTGAAACCAGCCAGGAAGGAGTTTCCCCACTGGCCTTGGATGTACTTCGACTACATACAGCATAGGCGTCCTTGAGATCGTCGAAGGCGCCCTCGTCGGCGGTAGTTTCGCCACTGTCAAGGTCATTGGAGTGCGGCCCAACTGACATCACCAGATTGACCAGCGGATCCTCAAAGTCGCTTGCGAAGGTACCTATCAAGAGAAAATTGAACCCTTTAGATAAACAAAAATTCGTATCAACAAAATCATCGTTAACATTTCCATTGCCAAATTGGTGGTCCGAGGATTCGTAACTTATGCGTTTTGTTGATGCACAAGCGTGGTTGCAGGTGGCAAGGACTTTAACCTGTCGACAGTTGGACGCCCATGGGCCCTCCATGTTGTACAGGATGTACATGGTCAAACATATTTATGACCAAGGGGATTGGCGATTTGGGAGTCTTCATTTTGTTCAAACTCAGGCGTCTGTTTTTGAACATCGCGTCCATGGAAATCTGATATTTGTGACTGACATTTTGTAGTGATCACACCCTTTCTTTTTTACATCCAGGTTCTCGAGAACCTGGCCAATGGGTCAGGCATCCTGTAATTTTTGGCAGTTGTTGTTGTTGTTGTTGTTGCAAGGTTTCGCCCATTTAGTAGCGAAAAAATTTGCGCGGCATGCGTTCTGTAGCCCCCTATGTTGAGGAAACCCTTTTTTTGGTAGCACAGAATGACCTATCCTAGGTCCAACATGCAAACATGAACGGGGATTCAAAAAGTTTATTCCTCCTGTTGTCCTGGTCCCTTGGTCTTCTGGTCGCTTTGTCTATACTTTCGAGGCGAGACGTGTTAAGGGTGATTTGGACATCGCCAGCTTGAGATCCTCAGAAATGTTTCGCTCTGCATGCAATGTGCACTTTGAGGTTTGCAATCCCTGCACCTCCCACGCACTCTGCATGTAGAGGTTCGTCCAACGCCGCAGGAATCTTGGCGTCGAGGTTCAAAAAACGCCGCCGCTTTTGCCACAAAATTTGCACTTCGAGGTTCACAGATGGTTGCGCCTGCCACGAAATCTGCTCGTCGAGGTTCACGACGTGCTGCGCTGCCACGACATCTGCATGTAGAGGTTCGCCCCGCGCCGCGACTGCCATCAACTCTGCACTTCGAGGTTCACGAACAGCCCTGCCAAAGCGGTTCGCAGTGGCAGGCGAAGCTCTTCGTGAAGGTTTTTTGATACAGATGTATTTCTATTTGCATCACGAAAGGTAGCCCCTAAGGGGATACCTAGAGTTTGTTTGCGAAGCAAGTGTCGGGGCGTCCGGGTCTAATATCTGATAGTTCAATTCAAAACCCCCCCCCTCGAATTGATTTCTCAATACAGACCCCGGGGAATTGATTTTTCAATACCGAACCCCCCCCCCCTCTAAATTCAATTCTCTCCTGGAAAACGTCTTCGTGAGCCTCTCATGATTTCAGGATAGTCGAAACCCTCTTGAACATTCAGAAAGAGTGCATATGAAATTCTAATCACGAAAGGTGTTCCCCGAAAGGATACATACCTAGAGTTTGTTTTGTGAAGCGCGGCGATTCTCTCCTGGGGAACGTCTTCGTGAGAGTTCAAATCCTATGATGCCCCGATTCAATGCTCACCGATGATCTGAGCCATGGGGCAAGTTTGTTTTCCTAAGAATCTTGAGCATATGTTTGAACATTTCGAGTGCGTATGAAACTCTATTTACGAAAGGTCGCCTCCGAGGGGAATCGGATAAATCACCATGTCGAACATTGCATTTTTGTTCCTGCCTCTCGCGTTCTCTTTTCTTCCCGCTGTCTTACCTTTCGTGTCTCCCTCCTCTCAAACTTTCATAACATATTGAAGTTTGGGGCAAAAAATATTTTTCGTTTTGATCGCCAAACCATGAAGTCGGAACCATAAGTAGTACTTGGCCCTTGCCACCGATCATTTCCACACTCTGCCAAAATTGGTTGAATAGCTCCTTCGCGTCAATGTAGGTGGAGTAGATCTCATCGATCGTAGTTCTCACCGACCAAAAAGCAGATATCATGGAGTTTCCCCAATGAATCTTTTATTGATAACTGCCATGGTCTCTGCGCTGCGCATCTGGGCAGAGTTTTCCAACATCGCATTTCAATTTCCCTTCCTTCCTTCCTTCCTTCCTTCCTTTCTTCTTTTGTTCGGTTCTTTCTATGTTTTTTGGTTGGTGCATTTATTTCTATATTTTGACGCGTTTATAACTTTTGATGCGTCTCCCCACCAGTGGGTGCGCCGAAATAAATGCCTGCACGGCCACGGGGTCTTGGCACCAGAATGGTGTCGACAACAAGCTGCGGTCCGTCCTGATAGGAAACTTGTGAAATGGGCGCTGCCCGATGCTCCCTGCTGAGGTATTGGCATGTGGGTATATAGCCCGCGACCACTCTGTTCAGTGAACTACGAGCTTTCATGCAGCCACGCCAAACAAACTCTTGCACATTCCGCGTTGACACTTCGAGCGGTCAATCACGCTGGGTGTGCTCCACACATCTTCACATTGGCCATGGGGCTGTCCAAAGTGGCGGTTCCAGCAGCATGGGCCGCTCGCCCTCAAGGAAGATAGGCCGTAAACCCTTCCTCCGCGGCAGCGTCGAGCGCTAAAGCCGACTTGGCTGGCAGTGGGCCAAGGGACTTAAAAACAACTACGGGCCGCGCTTCGAGAACATGACCACCTCGTACATGGCCTCTACTCTCGAAAGCTGGGGTTTCAGGGTCGCAAGAACGAGGTTGCTCTGAACGTTTTTCAGCCCGTGAAGGACCTATCTGGACGCATGCTGGCTTTTGTGTTTCTTTCGCAAAATTTTCCACAAACAGTGGGCATTCGACGATATTGCCGAGATGCCAAACAACTTCGACACCTGCCTATTCATACTCAAGCCGACAGCGCCACCTTGCTGGGGCACACCACGGGGCCAGGTCACCGAACATCAGGTTGACCTTCTGGGACTTGGAACCGGAACTGCTTGTGCAAACGCAGGTCGGATCAACCCTGACTGGGGTTGTGGAGCAGTCAGCGTACCTGCTTAGAGGACCAACAATTGCCTCCGCCGACAGCATGGGACGGGAGGCGCTGCGCCCTCCCGCCCCCTCCCGCTTTTAAGTGTTGAGCGTTTTCATTTCATTTATTTCCACTACGAACCCAGACATACATACATACCTATAATTTTGTAGGTATGTATGTTTCCCCAGACATACATACATACCTTTAACGTACATACATACCTATAAGTTTCTGGGTATGTATGTACTCTTTATTTCATTCGTTCATTGACTCGTTCATTCTTTTTTCCTTCTTTCTGTCATGTTCATTTTCCTTTCATGTGATTTTCCTGTTTGTTTGATTGTTTCTTCTGATCACTGGAATATGGCTCTTCCCTCTGCACGTTTGGGTCCGTTTATTTTTGTTTTTCTTGATCACACTTATATATATTAATTTTTGATTCACTTTTGTTTTTTGTTGATCCCCACGTCAGTGGAATATTGCTCTTCCCTCTGCACGTTTGGGTCCGTTTATTTTTGTTTTTTCTTGATCACACTGAAGTTTCTGTTTTTTGTTGATCCCCCGCCCGTTAATGGAATATTGCTCTTCCCTTTGCATGCTTGGGTGCGTTTATGTTGTTTTTGATTCATTTTTGTTTTTTCTTGATCCCCTGATTTTTTTTTTGATTCATTTTTGTTTTTTTTGATCCCTCGCCCCACTGGTGCGCGCCCAGCCAACAAAAATGCTTGGGAAATCCTGGGAAGAACTGTCTCGTTTTGCTTCACGTTGCAAGCTGATGGCCAATGGATGCCAATGGACCTTTGACACCGCTTTTTCTTTGGCCCTCGGGGGGGGCCCCGTAGCGGCAGCGGTCCTTCCTTTGAAGCCCCTTTGTTCTCCAGTTGGTGTCCGCTGGAACATCTCCCGCTCCTCACGCGATTTCGCTGCCTCCGAAGGGCCACGCCCCGAGCCGCCCTGGCGTGTGCGGATAGCGCGCCAAGGCTTCCAAGGCCAAACAAAACTGTGGAATTTTGAGTTGTGCGCACCGCAAAAATGCAATGGGAAGAGCAGGAGGCGAACGCATGGTGGAAACAGAGTTGCGTCCACCCTTCTGTTGACGAACCGCAGTGAAGGACAATGGCATGAAGCGAGTGCATTAGTAGGTGATTGTGATAGTTGCCTTGATTGTGTTGCACCCCTATATACCCCTTATTCTTCCTGACGCAACCCATGAGCAGCCACCTTGCAAGCAAATTGTGATGAATGGGACGAAACGCAAAAACCACCGGGCACCATGGCGTATCCCGCGCCTCTATCGCGATTTCCTTTGGTGTTGTCAACGTGTCATGATGTCAGTTGATATTTATTGTCCATGCAAACTTCACCAGAACACACCCCCACTTCCCAAAAAGACCGCAACACGTTGCCGTGCATCGAGCCAACGGGGCTTACAGGAGGCAAAACCCACCAAGGCGACCGAGGCTGGAGGTTCAAATTCGAGGAGTTCCGACATGCCACGAAGAAGTGGCTTCAATTGGCATGCGGCACCGCGCAGCTGCCACCCCCAAGCATGTTCATAGGTGGTGCCGCGCCAACCCAAGGAACCGAATGGACCCCACGCAGTCGCGCGACATCGGATTGCCAATGGGAAAGACCCCAACTGCGGATGGGGGGGGGTCATACATTCTGGGAAGGTGCCGCTGCTCACGGCATTTTTTGACGCCAGTTGGCTCGAAGGATTTGACTTCCCAGCGGGTTCCTGAACATGGCCTCCAATGAATTTTCTCTTCAGATGGCTGTGCAACAGATACAGTTGCAGCAGAAAGAATCCATGGAACGAATGGACGTGTTGAAGGAGCAGCACAAACAGTGGCAAGCGGCAGTGGAGGATTTACTAGCGCGGGTGAATTCGATAAGTTTGCCTCAAGTGAGCTTGAAGACTGAACGACCAGAACCTCCTTCAGGAGAACTAGGGTGCAGTGAACTCGTTTTTGGGTTCACATGTGATATGTCGCGGTGGTTTACAACATGGATTGGACCAAAATTAAGAATAAGAGGTATGTATACTGAGGACCAATGACATGGGAGTGGTGTTTTTGAGCATACCTCTGACAACTCCTATGTCAGTGGCGGGTAGTATAAACATTTGCTGCAGGAGATTTGCCCGAAGTTCGGGACAGCGAGTGGGATGAATTCGCCGCTGACAGTCCAAAGATGAGTATGGACACCCGGCGCAGCGAAGACACCTCCAGAGAACTCGCTCGAACCAGCAATTCCAAAAACAAAAAGTTGGAAATCAGTGACTTGGCCTGTGAACACTGCGTTTTTAGGCCATTTTTGGCACCCTTGCCGTGAACCTGACAGGAACAGAGGAAGTCAAAGGCCGTTGGTTTTGCGTGGCAGTTTTGCATGACCTGTTTTTGCAGAGCCAATCGGTTGGTTTGAGAATGCAATCAGGCAAGGGGCCTTTGCAGAAACTTGTGCATGAAGTTATGCACGATCACCATGACCCAGCCCACTTGGTTGGCATGGGCTGCTGCTTGGAGTCGCGCCGGGCCTTATACAAGTTCGTGAACTCCAAATGGTTCGAGTATGTGACAGGCAAGGGCATGATTTTTGTTTGGGGGGTTGTATTTGTCTCAGAAATGGGGCAGGACTCCTTTGAGCCTTCAGCTCTTCATGATCATCATGTCTTGGTGAGGTACGATCATCATGGCGAACATGATTATGATCGGAGTGGAAACCGAAGCATCTTTGTACGCTGACGAAGACCTCGAGTGGAGCGGCTGGGTCGAGCGTGCATTCCTGGGCGTCTACACCCTGGAGCTGCTGCTTCGCTTCGTGGCCGGCGGCACGAAAATCTTCTGGAATGGCTGGTTTCTGTTGGATTTATTCTTAGTTTGCGTAGGCGCGGTCCTTCGGTCGTCCGACATGAGCCACGGTGCGTCGAGGGAACTCCCTTGTTCGGTGGTTTGAGTTGGGGTTTTGTGGGGGTGATGGACGGTTTTGGGTGTCCGGCACCTGTCTGGGGGACAAAGCCCAATGGTTCTGATGCCACGGTGATTTTTTACATTTTTCCTTTTGGTTGTCCGGGCATCCTCTGATTGTGAGATGTTGCTGGCTAATGCTTTGACTAATGCTTTGTGCCAGCTCACCGCCATAGCAGAATAAAGCAAGACAGCACGATGAATGTTCCTCCCAGGTCGTGCATCACCATCTAGTCTAGAGGAAAATCATGCATGCAGCATGCATTTTAATTTTGTTTTGGGGAATCTATGATTTGTTGTTCTCATTTTTGATGGTGCGCTGAGTATGTTTGCATACGTTGATTTGTTAATTTGCTCCTTGACTCGAAGCTGTGCTCTGTCCAAAGATTTTTTGGGAGCGCCTGAATGAATAGCTCTTCCTTGTTCCTTTTGCTTGGGTGCGGTTGGTGGGGCCAAGGCAAGAACACATTCACACATGTATTCACCTATGCACATGAAGTCTTTTGCCGTTTGGCAGTGAGCAGGGCCTCCTTTGTTTTTCTCCGTCCCGGTCCGACCTCCCGTCCGTCGAGCTCCGGGATCGCTCCGCAGCTCCCGAGAGGCATCTTGGCCCTGGTGGTGGCGCCCGTTTTCGGCGACGCGCTGGATGGGGTCCAGAAAGTGCTGGTGGTGCGCGGCTTGAGGCTGTTGAGGTTGGCACGTGCCCTGCGGATGGTGGGCCATTTTAAGGCGACTTGGAGTCGTCGAGGCTGTCGTGTGGTCCCTGCACTGAGAAGTCATGCAAATGGGTTGGAATCAGCGCCCGGGCAAGCTCCTTTGAATCTGCTGCCAGCAACGGGGGGAAGCCAGGAGGTCAACCACAACACATCCTTTGGCAAAAGTAGTGTCAGGCTTTTGCCTGAAGACTGCAGGTGCTTCCTTTGGACACTCCTTTAGCCGGCACTGTCCAAAAATGCATGGGCATTCTGGTGATCCACGGAGAGCGGAGAGCGGAGCGTTTGTTGAGCATGGCAGTCAACCATGCGACTCCACAAAATCGGCTCTTTTTCAGCTCGGTCAGATCCCACTGTACTAGGCGTTTTGGGGCCTTTTGGGGCCTTTTGGGCGTGTCTAGAGAACCATTTCTTCCACGGCTAACTTGGGCGCTGAGTGAACGGCAGGTGATTTGGCGCTTGGTCTACGGCGTTCTGACGGCTGGGCACACCATCCTTTCGGTGGTTTGCTTGAGCCTTGGAGGATGTTTTGTTTTCAAGCCTTGGTTGCAAACTCAAAACATCCATCAAAACCGATGGAGCGATGGAGGGGGCTAGGGGGTGTGCTTTCGACCTTTGACCTTCTGTGTCCTGTGCTGACCGTTCTAGAAACCTTTTGAACACAATGGGTCCTTCTTTTCTCCACACTGTTTCCAGCGTTTAGGTCCCAAAGCACAAGGTCCCGAAGAGCTACAGTTTTCAGACCCGATGGGTCTTCTATGGTGTTCTTCAATTCATTTCAAATCCTTCAGATGGAAAAGAAGGTCCGGGTCCAGTGGGCCAGTGGGGCCAGGACCAGCTTTGCCAAGGCTTTGACGAGACGTCGTCTGACGTAGGCATCCCCGGACCAACACACCATTCTCATCCACCCCAAGCGAAGACCTGACACCCCGAGCGAAGACCTGACCGTCCGGGACCTTGGAGTGGGGAGGGCTTGGAGGTCTCGGGACTTTTGAGGGTTAAATATCAGACTCGGGGGGGCGGTAGTTAAGAATGTTCGATTGAAAGAACGAGCGAAACGGATCTCAATCGGCGTTTTTTCCTTGGAGCGGGTGGAGTTGGTGTTGGTTTATCAGGGAGTGAGTATGATTGGTTTAGATGATTCAAGAAGTCCTTCTAGTCTAGCTGCATCAATGTCAGACCCAATGAGGGTCGTCTCCTGAGCACCTTTCTGAAGAAAGATGAGCACTTTTGGCACAGATCCAGGACCATTGGAATGCTGTCAACCACGCACTGTTCGTCCCTGCGTCTTCTGAGGATGATTTTGTGGCTCTTTATTTGCGGTTGCGTCTTGGCTTTGCGATCAGGATTTTCTCGCTGGCACCCTTTTTGGGGATGAGAGGGCGTACTTGGGTAAACTATGCGAAACTGAGAGGTCTTGCCAAAAAGTAGGCAAGCATTCTTAGATGGCTCAATCCACTGCCGGATCACTGTACAAGGCCCATGTGTATATGAAAAAGGTTCCTCCGGATCCAAGACGATCCATTCCAAGTTCACTTATGGTCCACTTAATGGTACACCGATTCCCTCAGGGCCTCAGGGGGTGCCGCGGACGACGGACCGCAGAGTCGCAGAGGTCGGCCGGCAGAGGTCGGGCGTCGTCCGAGCCGGGCCGTCCGGAGCTTTTGCAGGCTGTGCCATCGAGTTCATCCGCAATGACGCTCACCTGCTGCACCACCCGTTGACCCGACCGATCGTCATGGAAAACTTCGGCTCTCTGCCCCGGTCGATCTTGACCCTGTGCCTGGGCGGAACCGTTGAAAACAACAGGGAGGGGGAGAGATCTGGAGTGGGGGTGGTGCCGAGCTTCGGGTTTTTGGAAGGTGGCAGGCACCTTGCAAAGTGGGACGCTTGGAAGGGATGACTTGGCTTCGGTGATTTCTTCCGCATGGGATTGTCCAGCATGGACCGCCTTGGCGCCTGCGCGGTGCTTTTCGTCTCCGCGTCGCTACATGTCCAGAGCCGCGCCGCACCCGCGCGGCGCGGGTCGGGGCGTTCCGAGGCTTCAATTTGCGACGGCCGACTCGATCGCGCAAGTCTACTTCCCGTTGATCATGGAGAGGCGCTTCTTCCCTCCAGTCCTTTGGACGGGCCAAGCAGCAGGAAGAAGGAATATGATACAGTAAGACAGTTTCAAGCCTCAAAGCCTCAAGATTTGGCCAGGTGAAGGAGTAAATCTTAGCCAGAAATTGCTGGTGGTCAGGCCTGGGCTGGTTCTGTTCTTCATGCCAATCTTGCTGATCTTCTCCATCGCCCTCATGAATTTGGTGTCTTGGAGATTCATCTCGGCCCAATGAGCCAATGGGATGGGCTGGAGCTACCCTGAACTACCCCCCGCAAAAGTGAGGAATCTATTTCTAAGACACACCCAATATGGTCCATACAAATTGATGTTCGCGTATGGCGTATGGCGGATTGCGCACATGTTGTAGCTCCAAGAGGGTCTGCTTGCTCTGAGGCTCTGTAGGTGATAGAATCTGATAGACCGGAGTCTATGTGATGTACTGTGAATGTTTTGAATGACATTCTGGTCGAAGCCCTCAGGGCACATATATATATATATATATGTCTAAGTTGTTGAATATTCACTATATATGTCTAAGTTGTTGAGAAAACACACACACACACATACACACATACACACACACACACATATATATATATATAAGTCTACTTATTCTAAGTGTTCTTTGCATCGGTCCGCGACGAAGCGAACACAGACCGGTCCGCAGGCCAGCCGGCTGAATTTTCTCGATCCGGATGTCCGGTCTGCTGAGCTTGTGAAAAAGCAATGCTGCAGAGCCCAGACGAGCCCGTGACCACGATAGATAGATAGATAGATAGCTCGATCAGATAGATAGATAGTGATGAATGTTTCCTGTCCACCTCAAGCTTGATGCATCAAGCCTGGCCGAAGTGCTTCGGAGCTGGATCGAATTGGTTCGGGCTGCCCGGCGCACTGTTCGGGCTCAGGCCTTTACTCCCTGGTCTTCTTCGTGTTCGTGGCCGGCCTGTCTCTGGGGGCCTCAGTGACCCTGTTCTTTGGGGTCTAGCTTCTCCATCGCCCTCTCACTTCGCCTTCCTGGCTCTCTTCTGCTCGGCCGGCCTCCAAAGCCACTTCAGGTCTACGCCTGTCGGCGTATCTTCATGAGCCGGACCGCTTTGGGCATTCTGGTTGGGTCTGTCCGTGCTACTGCCCGTACTCTTCCCTCGCAGACATTCGGGACTCTGCTGCCAAACAATCCTCAACAAGAGGCTCACACCGATACAGTGGATTGGGACCTCGTCAGCTGGGGGCTCCACTACCAGGAAGGCCAGGGTTTGTCGACGAGGCATCGATAATAATGTGAGCAAACTGATTATAATCCGGCCCCAATCCTCACTTACTCACTGGGGGTGGGCTTGGTCCCGAGTGGCCGTGCCCAGCTGAACTGGTCGAACGGTTCCTTTTTACATTCTCTGCGTGAAGCAGCTGCTAGGCATATCAACCTCCTCGAAGGGGAAGCGTGCTAGACTACACTGGATCTTGCGGTCACGAAAGCTGCGCAGTTCCGCGACTCGTCAGTTTGGCAGCAGGTTTTGGACAGCTCTGCGCGGGGTGTTACGCAAAGCATAGTTCACGTAGTGCTTGTGCAGTGCCGTCTTCAGAGAAGCTCACTATAGTGCCCCTTCTGGTCGTGACTGGCTTGGAAGTCGGGGTGGGGCTTGCTCACTTTTGCTCAATGCTCCTTTTGCCTTGAGCACGAATCGCGAATTAGACGGTTTGAAGAGCGATGTCGCTGATTTCATTTTGAGATGACTTTGGCTCTGCGGGCTTGCGTGGCTCTACCTTTGACACGTCCTTCACCGTGGCAGAGAGGAGGTGTTTGCTGGAAACTGCTCAGTCTCATGAAGCTGACTGACGTATGCAGAGCAACCAGACGGAAAGAAAGAAAGAAAGAAAGAAAGAAAGAAAGAGAGAGAGAGAGAGAAAGAGATAGATAGATAGATAGAGAGAGAGAGAGAGAGTGAGAGAGTGAGAGATAGAGAGATAGATAGGATAGATAAACAGATAGATAGGTCGACAGAGTCGATAGATGCACTCCGTACAATTGCACCAAGCACACATCATGAATCATGTAGTAATTCTTTTGAGCGAGATGCGTGCAACTTTGGTCCTTGTGACGCGCTCAAGCTGCACAGGTCACAGCCGTGTTAGTGGAGCATGCCTTGGAACATGCGGCCCATGAGGCAGAGTCGGAGCGGCTGAAAACGAAGCAGAAGATCAAGGAGCCGTGTGGAGACGTCGAGTTGGATGGAGTTTGGAACTCTCTAATGCCCTTGTGCCCCTCCACAGGGTTCAATTAAAAAGAATCCTTAGCACAAGTCTTTTCAAAGGGGCTTTGCGTGGACGTTTCATTTTTGTGGACTGCTGCTTGCCAGTTGGTCTGAAATCATGCCGGGTGATTTTTTCATTTTTGATAAACATGATTTACGGCCATAACACGCCAACGACGATCGTGGTTGCTTTTCTCAGGGAAAAGACCCTTCAAAACCCTTCAGCTTTTCTCACTGGACACCAGGCAGCGTTGCCGGCCTTGTTGGATATCTTCCAGAAGTTGGACACTGACGAGAGCGGCTGCATCACGCGTGAGGAGATTGAAAATGTATCCTTGGACATGCTACCGCCGAAGCTCTTGGAAACGGTGCTTGGTCTTGAACAATTCGGTTTCTTGGGCTCTCTGGGGCATGGCGCGCGAGTGTGAAGCCATTGGTTTCTGTTCCTGGCTGAGGTTGCTGCTTTTCTTCTCCGCATCACGCGCGTGCAGTGAAGGGTTCCCGTTTCCGTCTGCGGTTCTGCGGTGTTTGAGACCGATCCCCGTGGCCCGTTGGAGGTTGGGGATGGGTGGACGAGGGGGTGACATGCCACGGACCATGCCGTGGAGTGGACTCACGTACTCAATTCGGCTGGCGCGCCGCCCGCGCGGAAGTGAAACAGAAGTGGACATGCCTAGCTGCTAGCTCTTGGGAGTCAGTCATGCCCTGCCGCAAGCCCTTGCAGGGCAGATGCTGTCGGTTTTGTTTGGGTTCATGGAGAGGTCCAAGAGTTTCACCAGGTCTGCAGCGACATCAACAGGTTCGGCCGGTGTTTTCGTTCTCCAAGCGGACGGGAGGGGACACTGCGATGCGCGTTCGCCTCAAGCCACCTCTCAGATGCCTAAAGCGTCCTAGAAGGAACAACCCAGCAAACAAACATCTGGCAAACGCGTCACGCAAGAGGATCCTTACCTCCCGAAAATGTCCGCTGGATGTGTCAAAAGAGACCGAGTTTGCATGTGAAAACATCTCGATGATCTGTGCTTTTTGGAAAACGTGTCCCTTTTATACAGCGTTTCCCCCTGTGTTCTACAGCGTTTCTGGCGGTTTCTCTCGACCCTTTCGACCGATCGGAGAGTCTCCGAGGTGTCGGTCGATAGCATGAGCGACCTCTTCGACTTGTTGGACGTGGATGGCGGGGGGCAGCTAACTCAGTCTGAGTTCGTGGAAGGTGGGCGAAGTCGTGTGGAAAAGACATGGTTACCATTGTTTTTTTTTTTTTTTTTTTTTTTTCCGGTCCTTTCGTTTTGGTTCACCCTTTCTCTTGTGCAACAGCTACAAAAGCTGAGCTAACTTATCGGTGTTCGAGTGAAACTCATCAGCGCAGCTGGACCGAATCCGAAGATGGTGTTCTTTCGTGCCTGCGTTTTGCCGCCTTTGTTTTGGCTAGGCCTTTTGAATCTGGTGTTGTTGGATGTGCCCATTTGGACCTTGCAATCTTTGAAGCTTCTACGGCTCATCCGCAATGTCACGACGCAGATTGATGAGGACTTGAAAAGCATTAAGGCGGCCAGGTAGCGGCCCTTCGTTGGAGAACCCGCGGAGACAATTTTTAAACTTTGCATAGTCACAGGCAGATTTCCTGTCAGCAGATGTGAGCAATGCTGAGAGAAACTCCGGGACTGGAATTGTTTTGTAGAGCTCCCGAAGGGTTACTGCTCTACTTCCCAAAGCCGCCCGTCAGGGCCTTTGCCGCTGTTGTTTCACGGCTCAACGAGCTGTTTCACTGCACCAATTTTCCGAGAAACCTGCTGAGTAGCAGGGAGTGCCTGGAAACTTGAGCTTGCGCTTCTCGTGGTTTTGCTCAGAAGTGGCTTTGCAGTTTCGATCCTTTCTTCACAAAATGCTCCTTGATGTGGAAGGTGTGTTTGTCGGCCCAGTCCATCTCCGCAGCAGTGACTCATCCGAAATGTCTTCAATGGCTTCAGAACGGCCTGAAAAAGCCGCCGTTTGATCAGTTTGCTTCAGAGACCACGTCTGACGACGTTTGATCAGGTCTGATCCCAAAGAAACTCACGGGTTGTACCAGTCTTTATTGAACGTTTTTCTTTAAAGAAATCAATGGAAGTCAGTGGTTCAGTCCACACATTTCCCAAACAAGTGGTTCAGTCCACGTTTACACGTCCCGACCTTGTCACGGCCGATCCGCCTTCGCGCCGTGCTTGGCGCGAATCCGGCCATGGCCATGGCCGCTGTAACGCCTGGGGCATTGGGCCTTTCCGACGTGGCGGGGCGTTTGATGAGAGTGGCTCTTGTTGGTTTGGGTGAGGCCTCACGCAGAGCACAGAGAAAGAAAGAAAGAACGCAAGAAAGAAAGAAAGAAAGAACGAACGAAAGAAAGAAAGAAAGAGAGACAGTGAGAGAGCAAGAAAGAAAGAAAGAAGGAGAGAGAGAGAGAGAGAGAGACAGAGAGAGAGAGAGAGAGAGACAGAGAGAGAGAGAGAGAGACAGAGAGAGAGAGAGAGAGACAGTTATTTAACCAGGCTAGCGCCTGGCAGCCGCCGACCCCCATGGAAGTGGATGGCCTAGTTTTAATGGGTTAAGAGTTCTTTTTCTCTTCGAACAATCGGGGAACCCAAGAAACAACACGGAACCCCTAGAGGCATGATCTGTCACTGCATCACCAAAGTAGGCAGAAGAGAGCATGGCAAATGGTGAAAGCAAGGCCCCTGACAGCAAACATGGAGTACACACACAAACCTTAAGCCCCAGTGTGGCCCTTGAAAACTCATGCGCAAAGTGCAGGACAGGAAATCCAAAAGCATAGAGACAGTGGGCCAGCGGCCTAATGGTTAAGGCGTTGGGCCTCTCCTGAGGCATGGAAGAACCTCGAGCCTCCTTCCCTCAGGAGTGGCCCAAAGATTGGGTGGTTCGAATCCGGGACTAGGGTAAATTGCAACAGTAATCAGGGTATTTCCAGACAGTTATGTTGTATGGTGTTTTTCCAAGCTGTGACCGGTGTTTTTTGCGTCAGTGACCGCCACCCGGTGTTTTTTGCGACGGTTGCCCGGTGTTTTTTGCAACGGTTGACCGGTGTTTTCTGCGACAGCTTGTTTGACCGGTGTTTTCTGCGACAGCTTCTTTCCGTCGCCGTATGCAAGAGCTGATGCGAGCGCTGCTTTGGGGAGGGCACAGCGCCTCTCCCCCGAAGCCGAGCGAGCGCTGCTTTGGGGAGGGCACAGCGCCTCTCCCCCGAAGCCGAGCCGCAAGCAGGCTCACCGCATCTCACAAGTCGAGCTTCCTTCTCAGCATGGACATCTAGCAGTTTTCCAATTCCTGCTACAACCAAGATGTCTACGGCGCGACAACAGAGTGCGGTGCCGTGCCCAATGTGCTGCGACATAGCCTGCCGGCGGGAGGCTTCAGCAGCAAGCAGCAGTCCAACATATAAGCCTTCAACATAAGCCTTCACCATTCACGTCTTGCAGTTTTCCAGCGCGTCTGCTTGCCTGCTTTACAACAAACGACAAGCGCCCATGCGCATGACTTGCTTGCGCCATAGCTTCCTGGAAGCCGCGGTCCAAGCGCGGGCGGGGGGGG